AAACGAGTGTATGTTTGCTGGTAAGATGTGTTTGACAGTTTGTGGTGTGGCAAATTGTGCAGTGAGGTTTGTAATTTTATTAATGAAGAATGTGGCAAAGTCGTCAGCTGTTAGAGTTGATGAAGGAGGGGGAGGAGGAGGACAAAGGAGGGAAGAAAATGTTTTAAAGAGCATACGAGAGTTAGACGAATTGTTAATTTGTTAATTTATGAAACAAAATATATAAATATTTCCATCAATAGAAAAATAACAGCATACACGTTTGGAAGGATATTACTTGCATCACATGCAGTGGGATCCTCTGCAGTGAATGGGTGCTGTCGGAATGAGAGTCCAAACAGCTGATAAAAACATCATAATAATCCACACCACTCCAGTCCATCAGTTAATGTCTTGTGAAATGAAAAGATGCGTGTTTGTAAGAAACAAATTCATAATGCTAACTTTCTCCAAGTCTGCTCTGATGAAGAAACAAACTCATCTACATCCTGGATGGCCTGAGAGTGAATACATTTTCATTTAAAATTTTTGGGTGAGCTATTCCTTTTTTTTATTTATTTATTTGTTTTAGTTTTTTAGTGGTGTTATTTTAGAAGACGATTCCTGATCTGTCTTGTTCTAATAAAATGTTTTTTGACATGGTACCCCAGTAATACATGATAATACAATGCGTTTTGGACAATTTTTATTTTTTTTAAACCAAAGCTAGGAGGATAATTGTTAAAAAGTCTTAAGAAAGCATGTGATGAATAAATTAAAATAGCACTGTTTTATATGAGAAATGTTTCCTCTTCTTTTGATCAGTGAGACTCAGAAGGTGAATGCATAGCAGAATGTATACAACACTGCTGGTGTACAAATCTGCTTAGAAATGATGATAAGCAGCACTAAAAGAGTTATTTCTGTTATAAGTCTTCAAACTAAAAAAATATAAAACCCAAACTGGATCAGTAAAAAGGACCAGCAATTGAGGCATCTGTAAAACTGTGAATCTCATAGCCTCTGGCTTCTTCATTACACCATAAGCAACATCTGTTCACTCCTGCTGTTGGTATGTTGGACTGCATGAAAGAGCAGCTGCTGAACGGGCCCAAAGGAAAAGTGCTGGACTAATGACCTGCTTCCTAACCCAAGTGCCTCTTTCACTCGCTCTCACATCGTCAGACCACCTCTGGACCACGGCTGACCTCACACAACATCAGGACAGATTGAGATGTGCTGGTGTGAGATAATGATGTGCAGTGCAGCTCATGTGAGTTAAACGCTGTGTTCCTGTTTCTCTGTTCTCTTGTCAATTAGTGACAGACTTTTTTTGGCAAGTTCAGTTAATGATCTTGGGTGTCAGAGAAAGTGAGACTTCCCAGAATATTTAAAATCAGTCTAGAATTTGAAAAGTTGCATAGTTGTTTAGAAAATGACTCAGCAAGTGCGCATATGTCTCTGTGTGATGTCTGTCAGCTCTTTCATCTGCTGATGTTAATATATCAGCCAATCAACTCTGGGTGGCAAAGCACTGTCAAAAGATCTCTGGGATAAAGTTGTGGACAGACACAAGTCAGGAGATGGATACAAAAAAAAAAAAAAAAAGGCTTTATCAAATCACAGTGAAGTCTATTAAGTAAAAAGGTATTTCCAGACACAAACACACCGGTCAAATTTTTGGAACAATTAGGATTTTAAATGTTTTTGAAAGAGGTCTGATATTCACCAAGGCTACATTTATGTGAGCAAAAATACTGTTAAACCTGTTGTTTTGTGTTGTGTGTTGAATATAATATAAAATGATTACAGTTTAAAATAACAGTTTTCTATCTTAATATATTTTTTAAATATAATTTATTCCTGTGATGGTGGATCAGAAACTCTACATTAATCAGAGTTTCCAGTTTTTCTGCCGCCCTGAGGAGGTCTTGCACAGCTGTCTATGTTTATCCCTCTGTAATCTGTTTCAGAGCTGCTGTCTAACTTGTTTCTGACCTCTTTCCAATCAGACATTCTTTGTATGAAATATTATACAATATCATAATCTATTCACGCTGTTGTTTCCCATTTTAAACAGATGTTATGCTGGAATTAAAAGTAAGACATTAAAATGCACTGAAATATGCCTTAAGGAGGTTTATTTTGTAATTCATGATAAGTGCATTCTCTGTTGTGTTGCTGTGACATGGGACGGTAACAGAGTGCCGGTGGCCCTGTCTAAATGATTCCTGAAGGAAAAGGGAAACACGGCTCACCTGACTGGGACACCACTGCTGCTTCTGTACCTGTCTCATAATGAGAATTAATTGCAGAAGGGTTTTGTTAGCTGTTTCTCCAAACCCATCCATGTGACGGTGTAATCACTGTTGCCCAGAGCAACGCTGAGAGGTTGCCAGAGGGTTTGGCCCCTCACAGGGTAAATCCTTAGGGACATGTGTATGCAGTGTTTGAACTATACCGTGGACTTTGGGGGAGCCCACTTTTATTTTTATAACGGGGTTGGGGGGGTT